GTGGGGCGAGCGACCAACGATGGCTGGAAACGACCTGGGCTACTGGCCGTGACGACATGCATGGGGGAGCTCCTCGCAACGAAAACACCCGCCCAAACTGCACAAAACTTGTGTGTGGCAGTTGGGGAAGAACCCCTCGTCCCTGGTGTAGAACTGAAGAGACATTTCCATTTGGAGGGTCACTGGTGTAGAACTGAAGAGACATTTCCATTTGGAGGGTCACTGAAGCGTAAATTCCCCCGATCAAGCCCCCCTCTTTTGGGGCGTCCCCACACCGATTGCTTATCCGGTTCATCAAAAATGCACTGGATAAACCTCCATAAATTTGGTACATCCGAATATAAGTATATAGAGTTCTGTATTTTGTGGCCCAAAATGTATCGGATGGGAAAAACCCTGCTGGGACTTGCGCCGGATGGGCACACCATTGTAGACCATTGCTGCCGGATATGGCGAACGAGACAAACGTGATTGAGTGCTTTAGCTGCGTTTAACGCTCTTTCAACCGAGCCTTTCGACCGAATCGTTATTCTACACCCCCATTGGATATTTTCCCTTTTAAAAGGAATACATCATCCTTTCATATAACCTCCATAAAAGGATGGACCTATCGATACTTGAGGGTCTTGGGCGAGGGATGATAAATTGATGATTCACTACAAATTCGTCGGCGGAAATATATTTTTCTTCCTCCAGAGCGATCACGTCACCGCCCGTCTCTTGGAGAGTTGCACGTTCTTCCGACTCGCTTTTATGATTTTCCGTCTCAATTTTATGTTATTCCGGTTTTCTTTATGATTTTCACGTTTAGTCGGTGTACACGTACATAGGTATATCAAAATTTCTGAGCGCGGCAATTACAAGAGGAGTTAAAAATCTGGGACTTTATGATTCCACCACCTGAACCCTCCAACGACGATGCAAGCACGAAGATAGCGTGCTTCAACGGGGTGTGGTATGGGTGTTTCGTGTTCAATTGACATTCACGGCCACAACATGCAAAAACAATCGATGCGGCCGTCGACACATTACACGGGCTTCAGGTGCAATTG